TGCAGCTACTCAGGCATTGCTACCCAATGGACTCCCCACCAAGAAGCTCCTTCAAAGCCACTTTCATGGATTGGAACTGTTCCCCCAGCCCAGCAAATACAAGATATCTTTTAATGTTTTATGTTTCATCATGCAAAATGAGGCCAGCTTTAGACCTGGACAACAAACAGTGAGAAACAGAACACTGAACGAATCAAAGCGTAACATTTTAGATAATGTGAACTATAGTATGTACAAAAGAGTGGGATCTGGTTGGTTAAAAGTCCACAGGAACTCATCCCACCTTTCCACAAGGCAATTTCTTTATACAACAAAAAAAACAAGCAAACAAAACCCCAACTGTGGGCCTCATATGAAAACCAGGACAAAATGAACTTTTACACCATCATTATATATTTTAGAAATTTCAAATGATACCACAGCAAATGTTTTCAACAGCCCTGCCTCTGAACAGACAGGATTTCTCACCCTGCCCAAATATTATTCAATGGGAAAGCTACATTTGTAGACAGACACCAATGAAAAAGAATGGGCCTATGCAACTTCTGAGAACAAGGATTGCAACACAAACACATATAAAGAGATTTATCTGCTCATAACACTACTTGAAAGCAATGTAGAATGTTCTCAAGTGCATAAATATGCATCTCTGATAAAGACCTAGTTGTCAAAATATCAACTCAAAACCATCATAATTCTACTTCAGAACATGGGCAACTTAGTTCATGACTCAAAGATCAATGGAATCTGTATGTCTATTCTCAGTCACTGATCATGCAATAGGAAAGAAATGCAAGCAAAGTGATATAAAAAAACATCAACAGAATCATTATTCCATAGGCCAACAAGTCCTGGGAATGAACACAACACAGAAGATCTCTCGGTAAGTACCTCTGCACACACAGCACCAATGACTCTCCTCAGGCCCTTCACAGCTGCCTTGTTATCATTGATCTTAATCAATTGCAGAGACTCAATTGAAGTTGCACAGAGAACTTCTCCTTACTATGGATAATATTTGACTTCCCACAACATGCATGTGACAAGCAAGAGCTTAAGTATTTTGAGGAAACAAGTATATGAAGTCTATTGCTTTAAACATGAAAGCAACCTATGGAACAGGGAAGTAGAAGTAACAGGCTTGATCTTCCACACATTATCAGAGAGAACAGCCTACCTTCAGTACATCACAAGCAGCAAGACAAATCAGCAAGGCACAAAGTTGACACATGAAGGACTGGATTTGGAGAAGGCTGAGGTTCTTGACTTCTTTGCCTCAGTCTTCACTGGCAAGTGCTCTGACCACACCACCCAAGTCTTGGAAGACAGATGCAGGGAATGTGAGAATGAAGACCTTAGGCCCACTGTAGGAGAGGATCTGGTTCAAGACCATCTTAAGAATCTGAATATGCACAAGTCCATGGGGCTTGACGAAATCCATCCGTGGGTCCCGAAGGAGCTAGTGAATAAGCCACTGGTGACAGCATGGCTTCACTAAGGGGAAATCCTGCCTGACCAATTTGGTGGCCTTCTATGATGGGGCTACGGAACTGATGGGCAGGGGTACAGCCGCTGACATCTACCTGGACTTGTGCAAAGTGTTCGACACTGTCCTGCATGACATACTTGTTTAAATTGGAGAGAGATCAATTTGATGGACCACTTAGTGGATAAAGAACTGGCTGGATGGCCTCACACTAAGAGCTGTGGTCAAAGGCTCAATGTCCAGCTAGAGACCAGTAATGAGTGGTGTCCCTCAGGGATCACTGTTGGGACTGGTCTTGTTCAATGACTTTGTCAGTGACATGGACAGTGGGATTGAGTGCACCCTCAGCAAGTTTGCCGATGACACCAAGCTGTGCGGTTTGGTTGATAAGCTGAAGGGAAGGGATGCCATCCAGAGGGACCTTGACATGCTTGTGAGCTGGGCTGATGTCAACCTTATGGAATTTATGGACATGAGCCAGCAGTGCGCTCACAGCCTAGAAGACCAACCATATCCTGGGCTGCACCAAAAGAAGCAGGTCGAAGGAGGTGATCCTGCCCCTCTACTCTGCTCTTGTGAGACCTCGGAGTATTGTGTACAGTTCTGATGTCAACACAAAAAGGACATGGAACTGTTGGAACAAGTCCAGAGGAGGTCCAAAAGGATGATCAGGGAACTAGAGCACTTCCCGTATGAAGACAGCTGAGAAAGTTGGGGCTGTTCAGCCTGGAGAAGGCTGCATGGAGACCTCATAGCAGCCTTCCAGTATTTGAAGGGCCTGTAAAAATACTGGGGAGGGATGCTTCATTAGACTGCAGTGACAGGACAAGGGGTAATGGGTTAAAACAGGGGAAGTTTAGATTGGATATAAGGAAGAAGTTCTTTAAGGGTGGTGAGGCACTGGAATGGGCTGCCCTGGGAAGCTATGAATGCTCCATCCCTGACAGTGTTCAAGGCCAGGTTGGACAGAGCCCTGGGTGACATGGTTTAGTGTGAGGTCTCCCTGCCCATGAGGGGGAGGGGGGGGGGGGGGAGGTTGGAACTAGATGATCTTAAGGTCCTTTCCAACCCTAACTATTCTGATTCGATTACAGCATACTCGAGAATGGCTTTTAGGCTAGAAATAGACAATGATTCCACTGCTGGCTCCTCCAACAGCTCCCATTATCACACCTGTCATAAATACGTAAGCTGTCAAAAACGACCACAACCTGAAAACAGGAGAAACCTTCCACGGATGCCCATACAGATGGAGTAAAACGTCTTTTAGCAGGCATTCTTTGGGAAGATGAAACTCACACTGTATACTCACAGTTGGGCACTGGCCACAAAAATTAAGAAACCATGTCTCTTGCGTCTTCAAGAGCCAATCCTGCACAAGTACCATGACTCTGCTCTCCAACCCTACACCACACAATGGTGCTCTTTGCATCTTTACATATGTCTGCTCATGAGACTTCAGAGAAGAAATGTCAAGGTTTAAAAAGACCCGTTTGAAGGAAGAAACTGTGTCAACATAGTGAAGACATCCTAAAACACAAAGCCCCCCTCCAAGGAAACTACCGCTGGCAGCAGGATTGCTCCTTCCGCCTCTCAACTTGCTAACATCCCGCGTTCCCCTCCTGGGAGCAAGAGGCACCAGCACCCAGCAACAAGACAGGAGAAGCAGAAGAAGAAAGCGACGTGGAGAAAGGCTCCTGGGAGGAACTCACCGGGGGAATGGCGGGGTCCGCGCGGCAGGAGGCTGCAATGTCCTCCCCGAGAAGCAGTGCGGGCTCGTCGGGAGGCGGACGGGCCGGGAGGGTGTCGCAGCAGCTGCCTGAGGACAAGCGGAGATGGCTCTTGCGAGAGTCAGCGGTGAGGGACACCTCGTGCGAGTAGGAGTGCAGGAAGGCGCGGACGCCGTCGATACCCACAAACTGCGAGGCCGGGACGCCGCGCAAGGCGGCGCTGCCCGACGTCGCCAGCAGCTGCGAGCGGCGCCAGTGCCGCAGGCGCAAAGCCAGCAGCAGCAGCAGGAAGGCGAGGAAGAGGCAGGACACGGCCGCCACGGCCAGCACCAGCCAGCGCGTGAGGCTGGCGGCCGGCTCGCCCGGCACCGCCGCCGCCGCGCTGCCCAGCTCCGAGAGCAGCTCGGCCACGCTCTCGGCCAGCACCACCGTGAGCGTGGCCGTGGCCGACAGCGCCGGCCGCCCGTGGTCCTTCACCACCACCACCAGGCTCTGGCGCGCCGCGTCGCGGGCCAGCGGGAAGCGCGCCGTGCGCACCTCGCCGCTGTGCAGCCCCACGCGGAACAGCCCCGGCTCCGTCGCCTTGGCCAGCTCGTACGACAGCCACGCGTTCTGCCCCGCGTCCGCGTCCACCGCCACCACCTTGGCCACCAGCGCCCCGGGCTCCGCCGACCGCGGCGCCAGCTCCACGCCCGCCCAGCCCGACACCGCCGCCGAAGGCGCCGCCGCCGGCGGGTACAGCACCTGCGGCGCGTTGTCGTTCTCGTCCACGATCTCCAGCACCACCGACACGTTGCTGCTCAGCGCCGGCAAGCCGCCGTCCTCCGCCCACACCCACAGCCGCACCTCGCGCACCTCCTCGTAGTCGAACGAGCGCAGCGCGTACAGCGCGCCCGTCTCCGCCTGCACCGACACGTAGGACGAGAGCGGCGCGCCCCTCACCCGCCCCTCCGACAGCCGGTACCGCACGCGCGCGTTCTGCCCCCAGTCCGCGTCCGTTGCCCGCACCGTCAGCACCAGCGCTCCCGCCGCGTTGTTCTCGGCCAGCCGGGCGCTGTAGCGCGCCTTCGCAAACACTGGCGAGTTGTCGTTCACGTCCAGCACCCGCAGCGCCAGCATCACGTTGCTCTGCAGCGCCGGAGACCCACCGTCCACCGCCCACACGGTCAGGTTGTACTCTGACACCTTCTCGCGGTCCAGGTGCCCTGCCGTCACTATGCGGTAGTAGTCTTCAAAGGTCTTCTCCAGGCGGAACGGGAAGTTCTCGGCAATGCTGCACCGCACCTGACCGTTTGCTCCTGAGTCATGGTCCTGCACGTGCAATAAGGCCATTACCGTTCCCGGCGGTGCATCCTCGGAGATTTCGCTGAGAGACGACGACATCGTCAGTTCTGGTGCATTGTCGTTGACGTCTGTCACCGTGATCTCAACATTAGCCGTGTCGAAAAGGCTCCCACCGTCGTGTGCCTGCACTTGCAACTCGTAGGAGTTGCCTTCCTCGAAGTCCAGGTTCCGCATCAGCGTTATCTCTCCTGTGTCTGCGTCTAGCAAGAATGTCTGCGATGCCCTGTCCTTTTTCAATGAATATTTCAGGTGTCCGTTCAAACCCTCGTCGGCGTCAGAAGCCGTGACAGCGAGAAGAACGGAGCCCACGGGCACATCCTCGGGCACACGCACCGTGTACTCCTCCTGGCTGAACACGGGCGCGTTGTCGTTGGCGTCCAGAACGACCACGCGGATCCGCGCCGTGCCTGTGCGAGCCGGCTCTCCGCCATCGCTCGCCGTCAGCACCAGCTCGTGGAATGCCGCCTCCTCCCGGTCCAGCGCCTTCGCCAGCACCAGCTCGGGGCGCTGATCACCGCTGGGACCAGCCTGCACGGCCAGGGAGAAGTGCTCGTCTCCACTCAGCTCGTAGCGCTGCAGGGAATTTGGGCCCGAGTCCGGGTCGTGAGCTTCGGCCAGGGGAAACCGCGAGCCCAGGGCTGTTAACTCGCTCATTCTCAGCTCCGTGTCTGCCTCTTCGAAACTGGGCTCGCTGTCGTTAATGTCCGTGATTTCCACTTCTATTTTGTAAACCTTCATTTCTCCCTCCACGATCACCTCACAGCGCAGCACGCATTGCTGCGCGCTTTCACAGAGCTGCTCCCTGTCTATCCTCTCCGCTGTCACCAAATGGCCCGTCTTCCCGTGCAAGGCGAAATACTGCGCCCTACCTCTCTCCAGCAGGCGAAGACCGCGGTCGCGGACAGCCGGCAGCTTCAGCCCCAGGTCCTTGGCCATGTCGCCCACGAATGAGCCCTTGGGCAGCTCCTCGGGAACTGAGTAGCGCAGCTGCCCCCATGCCGCGTCCCACGCCGCCACCAGGATGGCCCACAGCAGCGCTCGTTCCTGCCAGTCCCAGCGCATTCCCGCCGAGCCGATCTCTGCCACAGCCCCGTCCACCCCGCACCTCCGCAGACAGCTCCCCGCCGCCGACCCCTGCTCCGTGTCCTTCTCCTGCTCCGGCAGCTGCACTGGCTCCTGGTCCGTGTCTCCGCTCCTGCCGCTGCACTGGCTCCACCCCGTCGTTACCGCACGGCTCCGCGCTGCGGGGACGCTCGCAGACTGTCCGGCCTCCGAGACAATCAGCGAGCGAGCGAGCGAGCGCGGTAGCAGCGGGCGGGGCTGCAGGCAGCGCTCCGACCTTCCTCCCTCTCCTCCTCGGTCAACAGCGGCGCCCGCAGCCTCATCTCGGCACTGCAGTCACAACGTTTTATACCCTTCGTAGCTGAATTACTGGTACAAGGAGATCAAAAGAAAACAGGTTCCGAGATCCTAAACGCAGTAATCGCACACACCCTTCCCGCAAACCAGGTTTCAGGTCATTAACCCAGGTGGCGAGAACTTTGTACAGATGATAAGCTTCAAATTCAGCACACTACCAACCCCGCCGAATTTGAGACCTTTTGTGAGTAGAGCATGATACAGAGAAGTACGGCTGGCTTGTCTTGCGGCATTTTTAATGGGACTACTCGATTTCCTTATAAACCAAATATTCGACTGGAAAAGCGAAGCTGAAGGACTTTGAGTAACTCCCCCTTTAAAACCAAATAAGGGTTTTTTATCCAAGTAATTAGCTCTGGGATACTGATGTAAAGGATTGCAACTTTTCAGCTAATCCTCTTCGTGTTGGACACCTCTTCAACAGAATAGCATAGGACAGGAGACTATTACAGCTGCAGACCCTCAACTACCGCTAAACACAATGCAAATGGACTTTATTCGAGTGATCAATTGCTGCTACTTTGCGTACCTCGTTCTCGGGTTGGATGAGCATTCAGGATGGGTAGAGGACTATCCTGGTAAAATAGGCAGAAGCAGCAACTATGTGACGAACTCATGAGCAGTAAATGCACAACTCAGAAAAATCATGCCCAGACAGAACTTGCCATTAATGCTGCCATTTCTGCAGCAGCCTTCTCCAAAAGACAGGAGGACAATGTGGAAGACGGGTACATTCACTAGGGAGGGACAATCTATAAATGAGCGTTTCCTTTAGTAGTTTCGGTCAAAAAGGAAATCTAAACCGAAGCATCAACCCCATTTTCTCGACCCCGCTAAGCAGTTAGAGGATCTCCACAGTGGATCCGCCTGCACTTAGACCCACAGCATTTCAGAACACTAGCTTCGTAGTCTTCTTCGTTTTAGCTTTTTTCGTTTAAAACATCTCTGCAGGCAATCCAATCTGCACAGCTTTTTGTAGTCGTGCTAGAATTTTTCCCTCAGCCTTTCAGCAGATGAGAACTGAGACCCGCACGCCGTGTCACGTTAATCTCTCAAATCCCGAGCAATAGCACATAGATGCAGATCACAAGATCTTCACAAGAGTCACCCAACACCCCAACCACCCCCCCCCACCCCCCCCAAAGAGAGTCCGCTGAGAAGTCAGAGCTTTCTGCGGACTTTCCCCCTGCACTCCGGAGGCTAATCCGGATCACCCTGCATTCCTCCTGCTTCCGCCACCGACACTGGGGAATTTTTCATTGCAGGCTGACACTACAGCCTAGGACTTGCGGCTCTGCTCTAGTATGATGCACACACACTCGTGGAGTCATTACAGCAAAAAAAATAAATCGTCCAAAACGCAGCCTCTGCACTTTGAAAATACAGCTCTTTAGGAAAAAATATAAAAATGGGTTCTGAAACAATGTTGGATTTGTTTGGTGTTTCTTGGACAAAATTAACAAACCAATTAACAGCAAGAACCTTCAAACGAGGACTACACGTGATGGGTGGTCATTCGCGGAAAAGTTACTGTTCAGTGAATGATCCCAAAAAAAGGCCACGGCACAGGATTATTTCGTTCCTGAAAGATCGGCACGACCACGCGCGCAACCACGAATAACCGCAGAGAGCCTGTTAGGAAAGACCCGAGAAAGACGTAAGCGCGGGCTTACAGACCTGCTGTACTTCGGAGTCCGCTGGCGGTTTTCCCACGACGGCGCTGCGGGTCAGGCTTCGCTCTCCGAGGGACTCCCCACAGAGAAGCTCCTCCGCGGGCAGGTTAGAAAGCGGCGGCGGTGGCCAAGCGGCTTCGGCGACGGCTCGTCCAGACGCAACGCACAGGTTGTAGGAGTAGGGCAAGGTGCCCTCGCAGAAGTCGGCTGGGAAAGCGGCGCCGGCCACGGAGAAGCGTTGAGCACCCAGGCAGCGCAGCACGGCGGGCGGCCCGGAACGGCGGCCCCTTGCCAGCACGGCCAGCGCTACGCTCAGCAGGAAGAGCGCGGACAGGAGAGCCAACGCCAGCACGAGGGAGAACTGCAGCTCCGCCGCCGAGTCGGCGCCCGCCGCCCGCTCGCTCAGCTCCGGCAGCGCCTCCTGCAAGCTCTCGGCCAGCACCACGTGCAGCGTGGCCGTGGCCGACAGCGCCGGCTGCCCGTGGTCCTTCACCACGGCCACGAGCCGCTGCTTCGCCGCGTCCCTGTCCGACACGGCCCGCGCCGTGCGCACCTCGCCGCTGTGCAGCCCCACGCGGAACAGCGCCGGTTCCGGCGCCTGCACCAGCTCGTACGACAGCCAGGCGTTGCGCCCCGCATCCGCGTCCACCGCCACCACCTTGGCCACCAGGTACCCGGCCTCGGCCGACCGCGGCACCATCTCGAAAGGGACCGCGGCCGACGCCAGTCCCGGGTCTGCCCCTGCACCCGCCGCTGCTGGCCACAGCACCCGCGGCGCGTTGTCGTTGCGGTCCAACACGAAGACTCGCACCGTCGCTGTCGAGCTCCGCGCCGGTTCCCCGCCATCCTGCGCCCGCACCACCACCGCGAACTCGCGGCACTGCTCGTAGTCGAAGGAGCGCTGCGCGTACATTGCGCCGCTCTGCGCCTCCACCGACACGTACGGCGCCGCGCCCGCGCTGCCGCCTTCCATCGAGTACCTCACGCGCCCGTTGCTGCCAGCGTCCGCGTCCCGCGCGCTCACGTGCAGCACCAGCTCGCCCGCCGCGTTGTTCTCCGCCACGTAGGCGCTGTAGGCGGCCTCCTCGAACACCGGCGCGTTGTCGTTCACGTCCGACACCTCCAGCACCAGCACCGTGCTGCTCGAGAGCGCCGGGCTGCCCCGGTCCCTCGCCACCACCGTCACCCGGTGCTCGGACTCCTGTTCCCGGTCCAGCGCGCTCGCCGTCACCACCTTGTGCGAACCGCCCGACGACGCCACGAGCGACAGCGGCGCCTCGCCCGACAGCTCGCACCACACCTGACCGTTCTCCCCGGAATCCGGGTCTTTCACTTTCAGCAGGGCCACCACTGTGCCGGCCGGCGAGTCCTCGGGCACAGGGTTCGACACCGACAGCACCGTAATTTCGGGCTCGTTGTCGTTCACGTCCAGCACCTCTACCTCCACCTCGCAGTGAGCCAAGAGACCGGCCCCGTCCTTTGCTTCAACGGCCAGGCTGAACGAGCCCGTGTCCTCGAAGTCCAGTGCCTCCTGCAGCGTGATCCTCCCGCTCTCCGCATCCACCATGAACTTCTGAAGCACCTTAGGCGGCATTTTCCCAAAGCCGTACGTGATGCGGGCGTTGCTGCCAGCGTCGGCATCAGAGGCAGAAACGTTCAGCACCGTCGACCCCGGCAGTGCATCCTCCCGCACGCTCACTCGATACCGCTCCTGCGCGAACACGGGGGCGTTGTCGTTGGCATCGGTGACGTTGATGCAGAGCTGGGCGGTGCCACTCCGGGGCGGGTCCCCGCCGTCCACCGCCGTCAGGAGCAGCCGCAGGCTCTGTTCTCTCTCCCGGTCCAGCGCCCGAAGCAGCACCAGCTCCGCGAACTTGCGTCTGTCCTTGCTCTCCTTCACTTCCACTGTGAAGTACTCGTTGTCCTCCACCTTGTAGCCCTGTAACGAGTTACGACCCACGTCCTCGTCCTCAGCAACTCCCAAGTAAAACCGAGCGCCGGGAGGTGTGGATTCAATTATTTCTAATTGCATGTTTTCCTTAAGAAACCGTGGAGCGTTGTCGTTCACGTCCTGGATTGCCACGTCGACGTGGAAAACATTAAACGGGTTCTGCACGAGTGTCTCGAAGCTGATAGAACAGGACGTCGACTTGCCGCACATCTCCTCCCGGTCCAACCTCTCGCTCACGTATAGGTTCCCGTTCTCCCCACTCACGGTAAAGTATTGCTTCTCGGTGTTCAGCCGTAGCTTGCGTGCCGGCAGCTCCGCCGGGCTCAGTCCCAGGTCCCGGGCCAGCGGCCCCACCAGCGAGCCTCTGTCCAGCTCTTCAGGGATGGCGTAGCGGAGCCGCTCTGGCGCCGCCCGGCAGCACCAGCACAGCAGTAAAGAGGGCAGCAGCACTAGGCCGGCTGCTGGACGCCGCCTCTGCCTCTGCCTGCCCGCCATTATCGGCAGCCCTAGGCGTGCTCCTCCTGCCGCTGCTTGCTTTCTTCCAGGCCCTCTGAGAAGCGAGCGCAGGGGCTGCCGGAGGGCACGGAGCTCGGTGCCGGCTCGGACGCCGTCTCTCGCCTCTCCTGCCCGTGCCGCTGCCGCTGTGGCCGGCGCTGAACGAGAGAGCAGCCTGCGGGGGCCGAACGTTGCGGGGGCCGAACGTTGCGGCGGCTCCGGCTGCAGCTTTGGCTCCAGCGCCGTTTCGCGTTGGCCAACAGCGACACCCGGAGGCGACTCGATGCCACCGCAGTCGAGTCGGAGGCTGCGCCCCTGATAGGAGCAGCGGCAGCCACTCACCTGAAGAATCATTTTTGTAGCTAGAGACTTTATATTACACTGCTTCAGGGTGAATTTTACCCTGCTCTTTTCTGATTTAAAATACCACTGAGTCGTAATGGTAGAGGACCTGAACTCAGGCCATCTAACAGCCCAGTTGTCAAATGTGTATCTCTCCAACAGAAGCCAGGATGTTATCGGACCGTTTAGGGGACACCCTGCATGCCTCGTCCCTGTGGCTCTATTTCTGGAACTGCACCCTTGCTCTGGCAGAACAAATTTGAGCGGAAATGAGGTCTAGTAGCGCATGAAATGCAAGATCTTAGAAACACTCAAATGAACAGAACGTCTACCATTTCTGAGGCCAAATAGTTCGATTACTTGTTTACATCTGGTATGCCAACAATAACAGAACGCGCTGAACAGCTGCTGCAGCATGAGCTAGAGGCACTAACCAGATTGCTAAACAAAGCTGGTAATTACAACCAAAATTGTACACCGAGGAAATCAAGAAGAGGAAACCAAAACCATACCTCACACAAGCAGGCAAGAAAGCATTAGAAATCCACTAGTTCTTGGGAATTGCTTCTACTGTGTGGCAGCATTCTCAAAAACAAAACAAAACAAAACAAAACAAAAAAAATAAAAAAAAAACCAAAACCAACCAAACCATATTTTAAAAGGCTTTATATCTCACACAGCTGTAGAGAAATGGTAAGGAAGAGGGAAATGCCACCCAGCATGGAAGACAAACTAATAACTGCACAAACAAGGAAATCAAGCTCAGAGAAAATGAACCCATACCACTACTCTTGCCATTTCTGTAGCCACCCTTCACTTAAAGGCATGATGGCATGAGGCTGAGGGGATGAACATTTATTAGGGCAGAGCAATCTGCCACTTCACCATTCATGGACCACATGCATGTTTTCTTACTGAGTCCAGCACCAAAACAGCATTAACCAATTCCTGTTCATGTCACTAAACTGAATGTTCATTATTGAGCAGTTTCATGACACCATCACATAATATTGCAAACCCATAAATCACACAAGAAGTGTTAGAAAAGTGTGCTGTCACAGAAACTTACCTGTAAGTCTTCCTGCTACTCACTGAAGGCACTGAAATTCATCCCTGGGAGCACCTGGAGGTTGTTCCTATCTCAAGCTGCAACTGTGGGCCTACAGTCTTCCTCTGCACTACATATTGGGTTTAGTTTAATAGTCACGAGCTCTCAGCAACTGTTTTCTATTCTGTGGCCTGCTCATCTCCTGGAAATATGAAGCAAAGGCCTTCTCATGGACCTCCTTTTCCACCTCAGTATTCAACAACAAATTCTACCTTCTTCATTCTCATGGTTACAATATTGGCTGTAGTAAATATGTGCTGCAAATCAACATTCACATTACCAAATGTAAAAACTGTCCAAAATGGGGAAAAAGAACCATGACCTCTGAGGAATAATGTCCTCAAAGGAAGCGTAACTACAGTTGTGAAAATACACTAATGTTACAGGGAGATACAAGTTGGATAAAGGTTTCTCACAAGTTTTATAAGCCATTTTACCTTTGCTTCATCTATGTACTGATTTATGGAGCAAATGCTCTACTATTGCATTTCAGGAGACCAGGATCACACAAAATATGGCACAGGCCTTCGCACCAGGCAGAAAAATCAAAGTACTGCCCAAGCAAAGCCATGCTGACTCACCTATTTTCCTGGTTCAAAGCCAGCCTTTCACTCTCCTTGCTTTGTATTCCAAGTCCTTAGTTGCGCTACAGATCATGTCCAATATTTTGCCCATATGTCAGTCATAAGTGAAGGAGCGTATCATTGTGACATCTCAGGGAAACAGGTATATCAAAGTGTTCATCTTGGCTGAACACCTTCAGGCTATGGATGGCAACTTCCTGCAGCCCAACAAGTACAAAAGACCTTTTAAGGATTAACAGGGACAATCAGGCCCAACTTTAGACCTGGATAAGGCAAGAACAGGGAACCTGCAGACATGAAGGAATCATAGCCAACATTTCAGATACAGCAGGTACACTAAAGAAGGACCTAGTTCGTAACCAAAGGAGCTCACACCAGACAGTAGCCACATTCCCTCCAGGCAATTCTGTGGACAATCTATACATGAACCACAACTGTGGGCCTCAAATAACCAGGACAAACTGACCTTTTACACCATTTTTACATGTTTACAAATTATACCACAGCAAAACTTTGCATCTGACCAGGATTTCTCACCCTGCTCAAACTTACACAACAGAAAAGCTACATTTGTCTTCAGACACCACTGAAAATTGCCCATGCAGCTTCTCCTTCGCGAGGAGATCCTCAGCATGCAGAGATACTTCTCTTTTCATCACACTACTGTAAAGTGTACATCTATGCTCTGTCACTGATCATGGAACAGGAAAGCAAACAGATGAACCCACAGCTTGGACAGAGCCAAACCAAGGCAATATCCAAGACATGACATCTTGAATAATTTTCAATACACCGACAATAAACCCTGGGAATCAACACAACACATGTATCCACCAATACCTCCACACAGACACCACCATCGGTATCTCAAACCCATTACAGCTTGCATTATTGTCATTGATTTTCATCAACTGCAAACCACCAAAAGAGTTGCACAGAAATGCCGCTAAGGCATAATTAGACCGATACAAGTGCAAATGCACATGGAGAACCTATCAGGGCAACCCATACAGATGCAATGACACCTTCTAGCAAAAATTCCTTTGGAAGGCAAAACTCAGTGCAGGACATTACTCTTGGGAGCAGGTCCTTCACAACTCGAATGTATTGCTGAACATCTTTACATTTCTATAGTAAGATGAAGACACATTTCTACTCATGCCCCTACAAGGAGGCACGAGGCTACTGTAGAGACTGGGTCGCTGAACAGCATGGAACAAAATGAAGATGTGGTAAAACATGACACCTTCCTCCAAGGAAACTCCGGCTGGCCTCTCCACCTGCTCCTCCTGCCTCGCCATCTGCTGCATACCTGAGCCTACAACCCACAGTCCCCTCCTCTGCGCAAGAAGCACCAGAATTCAGAACGGGGCTCAGATAATCTTTGCCTTCCTCGTCCCCACAGCTCCCCGAGCTACAGAGGGAACACGAAAAGATAATCCACCGGGAAAAGGGCAGACAAGCAGCAGAGCGAAGGAAGCAGCGAAAAGACTCCTGGAAAGAACTCACCGTGGGAGCAGAGGGGTCCATGCAGCGGGTGGCGGCAGGGTCCTCCCCGAGCAGGGGAGCGGGATCGTCAGGTGGCGGACGGGCCGGGAGGGTGTCGCAGCAGCTGCCAGAGGACAAGCGGAGATGACTCTTGCGAGAGTCAGCGGTGAGAGACACCTCGTGCGAGTAGGAGTGCAGGAAGGCGCGGACGCCGTCGATGCCCACAAACTGCGAGGCCGGGACACCGCGCAAGGAGGCTCTGCCTGACGTCGCCAGCAGCTGCGAGCGGCGCCAGTGCCGCAGGCGCAGCGCCAGCAGCAGCAGCAGAAAAGCGAGGAAGAGGCAGGACACGGCCGCCACGGCCAGCATCAGCCAGCGCGTGAGGCTGGCGGCCGGCTCGCCCGGCACCGCCGCCGCCGCGCTGCCCAGCTCCGAGAGCAGCTCGGCCACGCTCTCGGCCAGCACCACCGTGAGCGTGGCCGTGGCCGACAGCGCCGGCCGCCCGTGGTCCTTCACCACCACCACCAGGCTCTGGCGCGCCGCGTCGCGGGCCAGCGGGAAGCGCGCCGTGCGCACCTCGCCGCTGTGCAGCCCCACGCGGAACAGCCCCGGCTCCGTCGCCTTGGCCAGCTCGTACGACAGCCACGCGTTCTGCCCCGCGTCCGCGTCCACCGCCACCACCTTGGCCACCAGCGCCCCGGGCTCCGCCGACCGCGGCGCCAGCTCCACGCCCGCCCAGCCCGACACCGCCGCCGAAGGCGCCGCCGCCGGCGGGTACAGCACCTGCGGCGCGTTGTCGTTCTCGTCCACGATCTCCAGCACCACCGACACGTTGCTGCTCAGCGCCGGCAAGCCGCCGTCCTCCGCCCACACCCACAGCCGCACCTCGCGCACCTCCTCGTAGTCGAACGAGCGCAGCGCGTACAGCGCGCCCGTCTCCGCCTGCACCGACACGTAGGACGAGAGCGGCGCGCCCCTCACCCGCCCCTCCGACAGCCGGTACCGCACGCGCGCGTTCTGCCCCCAGTCCGCGTCCGTTGCCCGCACCGTCAGCACCAGCGCTCCCGCCGCGTTGTTCTCGGCCAGCCGGGCGCTGTAGCGCGCCTTCGCAAACACTGGCGAGTTGTCGTTCACGTCCAGCACCCGTAGCACTAGCACCGCGCTACACTTCTTCGCCGGCGAGCCGCCGTCCACCGCCCGCACCGTCACGTTGTACTCCGACACCTTCTCGCGGTCCAACTCCCCCTCCATCACCACGCGGTAGTAATCCTCAAATGTCTTCTCCAGCCGGAACGGGAGAGTCTCGGCGATGCTGCACCTCACCTGGCCGTTCACCCCCGAGTCCTTGTCCTGTACGTGCAGGAGTGCCACCACCGTCCCCGATGTCGCGTCCTCAGAAATCTCACTCAGAGCCGACCGCACCGAAATCTCGGGGGCATTGTCGTTGACGTCTGTCACCATGATCGCGATTTTCGCTGTATCTGATAGTTCACCTCCGTCGAGTGCCTGCACCTCCAGCTCATGTGTGGCGATTTCCTCAAAGTCCAAATCGTCCTTTAGAGATATTTCTCCAGTCTCAGAGTCCAGCTGGAAAAGTTCCGATGCCCGGTCTGAAATCTTATGGATACTGTATTTCACGTGTCCGTTCAACCCCTCATCGGCGTCAGAGGCCGTGAGAGTAACAAGGACAGAGCCCACGGGCATGTCCTCGGGCACACGCACCGTGTACTCCGCCTGGCTGAAAACGGGCGCGTTGTCGTTGGCGTCCAGCACAGCCACACGGATCCGCGCCGTTCCCGTCCGCGCAGGCTCTCCGCCGTCGCTCGCCCTCAGCACCAGCTCGTGAAACGCCGCCTCCTCCCGGTCCAGCGCCTTCGCCAGCACCAGCTCGGGACGCTGATCCCCGCCGGGACCCGCCTGCACGGCCAGCGAGAAGTGCTCGTCACCGCTCAGCTCGTAGCGCTGCAGGGAATTCGAGCCTGCATCAGGGTCGTGAGCTTCGGCCAAGGTAAACCGTGATCCAGGAGCTGTCATCTCGCTCATTCTCAGTTCCTTTTCTGGTCGTCGGAAGCTGGGCGCGTTGTCGTTAATGTCTGTGATCTCTACTTCGATTTTGTAAACCTTCATTTCTTCTTCCACGATAACCTCACAGTGCAGCACGCATTTCACCACCAGCCGGCACAGCTGCTCCCTGTCTATCCTCTCCGCTGTCACCAAATGTCCCGTTTTCCCGTGCAAAGCGAAATACTGCGTCCTACCTTCAGAGACGACTCGGACGCTGCGGTGACGGAGAACCGGTAGCTCCAGCCCCAGGTCCTTGGCCACGTCGCCCACGAACGAGCCCTTAGGCAGCTCCTCCGGAATCGAGTATTGCAGCTGCCCCCACGCCGCGTCCCACGCTGCCACCAGGACGGTCCACAGCAGCACTCTCTTACACCGGCTCCAGCGTCTTTCCGCCGTGCACATCTCCACCGCGTCCCCGCCAACCCCGCACCGCCGCAAACACTTCCCTCCTTTGCCGACCGCTGTGCTGGTTTGTGCTCCCTCTCCCGGTCCGTGTCGCTGCTTCCTGCCGCTGCTGCCGCCGACCCCTCTGCCTCGATGTAGCCGGCTTCCGCACCGCGGGGACGCTCGGAGACCGCCCGGCCGCCGAGACAGCCCGCGAGCGAGCCGAGCCGCAGCGGGAGGGGTTGCCGGCAGCGCTTCGAGCCTTCCTCTCCTCTTCGGTCAACAGCGGCGCCTGCAGCCTACTCCCTGCACTGCAGTCATCGGGCGCTGCTGAGCGCTGCTCGTCCACCCCTATCCAAGCGAAACTCGCGGGGTCGGCACACGAGACACGGACTTGCCATCGGGTCCCGGTGATTCCCTTACTCGTTTGCTCTAGAGACGTGGTCTGCCTTGACTCTCGCGGCGATTCCGGCCAGGCAGAAATACTTTCCTTGGCCCTACTAGTTCTTCCACACGGAATATTTTATGTGCTCATCACTCTGCAAGCACAATCTCCCCCACCAATTGCATAGCTTTTTGTAGTCATTGTGGTTGAGTCTCTTCCCTCAGCCTTTCAGGAGATCAAAACTGTACCAGACTGGAATGACATCAGCCACAATTTCCCAAATCCCGAGTAATAGCACAAGGCAGCAATCAAGATCCCTCCTCAAAGACAGCTGTCCTCCAGGCTGGCCCTTTGGACTGTTACTTTTCCCCTGCACTCCAGAGGCTGCTCTGGATCACCCTACATTTATCCAGTTTCTCCCATTACCACTCGGGAATAATTTATTACAGCCTGACACTGGAGTCTGTGCTTCCACTTAGGACTTCAGGCTCCTCTGGGAGTCAATGAAACATTTTCCCAACTCTGTTACGTAGAGTTGGCAGATGTCATTCTACGCACTAATGACCACCTTTATTAACAGCATTTCACACACCACCACCTTTGTAAACTTTTCAGCTGTACCTGAACATGTGATGAACCAAGAAATTCCATCACTATCTGCTCCAAGCAGAAAACAATGGCTGATGGTGTACTCAATCCCACTGAGAAGATACTAAATAGTCCAAGGGTCTCAATATGGACCCTTGGAGGAGAGCAGGTCACTGGTTTCCTCTTGAATATTGAGTCCTTATTGGTCATCCAGCCATTTCGCCAACCATCTAATTGTCCACCTATCCCTTTAAATGGCCACCATGATGAAAGGAAATGTGTGGAGTACACCCTGCAGGACTTCTAACATTGGCCTCTAGTCTATTCATGGCAACCTTTGCTGGGCTGGGTTATTTTACACTCGACTGCAGCAGAGATGGCTTTGCTTTCTTTTGCTACAGACAAATGCGTATTTCTTAAGGCAAACTTGAGAAACAGGAAAAACTGTGTGATACTCCATCAGGCACGTGTTATGTATAGCAAGCAAGGAAATGCTCATCAGGTTTTCTACACGCTAACGGACAGAGCTCCCTGGTCTTTTTTCTAACCCTATACAACTTGCAAGATTGCTTCTGTCCTTCCCATAATTGGCAGAAACCTATCATAAGAGGAAGATGTCCCACCATTGCACCAAGAAGGGAGGTACATTTGGCTTCTCACCACCATTCTCAGAAGAAACAAGGACAACCACACAAATGAGAAAAAAAAAGTGATCAACAGAGTTTGGATCACCAAACTATTCACTTAGGCGGAATCTCTTCCCCTCATTAATCGCACACACCATTCCAGAGAGGTCCAACTTCTGCTCAGTTCATGTTTACATTTGTTCCCCCCAACAATAACAGAACATAAAAACACCCTCATATCTCCTGCCTTTCACACCCACTGGAGCATAAGCAAGAAGCACTAATACATGACACATTCCTAAAAGAATATATGCTGATTAAACACCTAGGAAACCAAGATAAAAAACATAAATCAGACAAGCAAGGCAAGGAAGCCTTAGAAAATGTTTTGTCATTGAAACACCAGGAAATCTTGCTGGTCTTCACTGTGGGCATTGAAATTCAATCCTGGGAGCACCTGAATGTCATTCCTATCTAAAGTAGCAAGCGCTGCCCTAAAGTCATCTGCACTACACAGTATCAGGGTTCAGTTTAAGAAACACCAGCCCTCAGGCATTGTTGTTACCGTGTCACATGCTATTCTCCCAAAAATATGAAGCTGTAAGTTTAAAGACCTTATCATAGAACCATAGAATAGTTCAGGCTGAAAAGGACCTTAAGATGATCTAGTTCCAACACCCCTGCCATGTGCAGGGACGCCTCGCCCTAGACCATGTTGCCCCAGGTTCTGTCCAACCTGGCCTTGAACGCTGCCAGCGATGAAGCATTCACCTCTTTGGGCAACCTGTGCCAGTGCCTAAACATCCTCACAATAACTTATATCTTCTAACCTGAACTTCCCCTGTTTGAACCTGTTGCGTCTTGTAGGCCCCCTTCAAATATTGGAAGGCTGCTATGAGGTCTCGATGCAGCCTTCTCCAGTCTGAACAGCCCCAACTTTCTTAGCCTGTCTTCTTACAGGAGGTGCTCCAGTCCCCTGATCATCCTTGTGGCCCTACTCTGGACTTGCTCCAACAGCTCCACATGCTTATGTTGAGGATACCAGAACTGCACACAGTACACCAAGTGAGGTCAAAGGGGAAGGATTACCTCCTTTGACCTGCTGGTCACTCTCCTTTTGATGCAGCCTAGTATACAGTTGGCTTTCTGGGCTGCAAGCACATTGTTGGCCCATGCTGTTTCTCATTGACCAATACCCCCAAGTCCTCTGCAAGACTACTCTGAATCACTTCTCCACCCAGCCTGTAGCTGTGCCTGGGATTGCCCCGACCCAGGTGTAGGACCTTGCGCACTTTCTTGAACTTCATGAAGTTGGCCCCACACAGCTTAGTGTTAGCAAACTTACTGAGGACACCTCAAACCTACCGGCCATGTTGCTGACAAATGGGATTGGTCCCAACACTGACCCCTGAGGGACACCTCTTGTTACCCATCTCCATCTGGACATTGAGCTGCTGACCACAACTCTGCATGTGGTCATTCCCAACAATTCTTTATTCATCAAGTGGTCGGTCCATCAATGAAATTTGTTTCTCCAGTTTAGAGAAAAGGGTGTCATGAGGGACAGTGTCGAACACTTTGTACAAGTCCAGGTAGATGCTGTCAACTGCTTTGCTCTTATCCATCAATTCTGTAGCCCCATCATAGGACACTAAATTGGTCAGACATGATTTGCCCTCAGTGAAGCCATGCTGGCTGTTACCAACCACCTCATGTGCCTTAGCATGCTTTCCAGGAGAATCTGATACAAGATTTTGCCAGGCAGAGGTGAGTCTGAATGGTCTGTAGTTTTCTGGCTCTTCCATTTTCCCCTTCTTGAAAATGGGGGTTATATTTCCCTTTTTCCAGTTGCTGGGTACTTCACCTGACTGCCATGATTTTTAAAAAATGGACAGTGGCTTAGCAACTTCATTTGCCAGATACTTCAGGACCCACAGATGGATTTCATCAGGTCCCATAAGGACTTATGCATTTTGATTCTTAAAATGATCTTGAACCTGATCCTCTCCTACAGTAGGCCTAAGGTCTTAAGTCTCACAGTACCTGCATCTGCCTTCCAAGACTTGGGTGGTGTGGTCAGAGCACTTGCTGGTGAAGACTGTGGCAAAGAAGTCATTGAGAACCTCAGTCTTTTCCAAATCTAGGGTAGCCAGTTCATTTCCTTCCAGAGAGGGTCTGTGTTATTCCTAGACTTGTTTGCAACATACCCACAGAAGCCCTTCCTGTTATTCTTGACATCCCTGGCCAGACAATTCTATCTGGACATCAGCTTTCCTGACCCAATTCCTAACTTCCCAATGTTCCTGTATTCTTCCCAGACTGCCTGTCCTTCCATTTTCTGCAAGTTTCTTTCCTTCTAAGTTTTCTCAGCAGTTTCTTATCCACCCATGGAGGCATCTTGGCTTTCCAGCCCCATTTCCTTCTTGCAGGGACGCAACACTCCTGAGCTTGGAGCAGGTGATCTTTAAATATCAACTAGCAGTCTTGGGCCCCCTGCCCTCTAGGGTTTTATCCCATGGAACCATATTGAGTAGGTTCCTGAAGAGACCAAAGTCTTCCCTCCTGAAGTCCAGGGCCCTTTTCATTACCCTGAAGATCACAGACTCCACCATCTCATGATCACTGCAGTGAAGGCTGCCCTGGAGCATCACATTCCCATCCAGTGTTCCCATTCCCTCCCTGTTGGTGAGCACAAGGTCAAGCATGGCACCTCTCCTTGGCTCCTGTTACTTGCAGGAGGAAGTTGTCTTTCACACAACTGAGACCTCCTGTATTACTTGTGCCAGGCTGTACCAATCTTCCAACCGATACTGGAGTGGTTGAAGTCCCCCATGAGACAAAGACCTGCAATTGCGGGCTGCTCCTATCTGTCTAGAGAGCTTCATCCACAGTGTCTTCCTGATCAGGCAGCCTGCAGCAGGTCCCCACGGTAATGTCCCCATCACATTTCTCCCTTTGAACCTAACCCACAAATTCATCACCCGTCCCTGGGCAAAGTTATGTACTCTCCAAACTACCATTGACATAAGTAGCTACATCCCTCACCCCTGTCTGCCTGGCCTGTCTTTCCTAAAGAGCCTGTAACTTTCCATTCCAACTCCAGTCATAGGAGCCATCCCATCATACTTCTGTGATTCCAACAATGTCATATTCACTTAGATGTGTACACATCTCTAATTCCTATTGTTTCTTCCCCCTTATGGGACACTTTCTCCAGTGCATTCTTTTAAGAGCACACAATAGATTCTTTTAGATTCTCATTCTTTCTGCTCACACAATTCTGTGTTAGGAGGCTAAAGTAAGTATTTGTTGCATAAAACCATGCAGCTTCAAATGCAAAAGCACTGTCCAGAAATGGGATAAGGAAACCATGACCTTTCAGGAAAGAAGGGCCTGAAAGAAAGTGGAACAACAGCTGT